TGATTTATGTTAAAATAGGGTTCTATATATTTACAACGATATATTTTGAATTTTTAACTTCTATTGATTCCCTGAATTTAAGCTTGAATTAAAATACTTATATTTTGTAATCTTGATACATGAGTTTGTGTTTCTTTCCAAAGGGCTTGGTAAATACTTTACCATAAAATTATTGAGTACCAGTCATTCTGAAAAGGAGAATTTAATGCTAATCTCATGGAATTTCTATGCGTCTTCTGAGATTTAAACTACGTACATTTTAGAATGAAATAAAATTTCTTCTAAGTAATATATACATATAAAAAGAAAGGCTCCAGTTAATTTATTTTCTCTATCTAATTTAAAAGAAATTTTTAAAACTATTTTATCGATTCTCTTCTGTGGGATTTTAGTAAGGTGACCAATTTTTTTAGAATGAGAAGGAGGACGAAAAATTAAAAAAAAAATTATAAGAAAAATATATAAAACATTTCATTAACTTAAAAAAAATACACTAATTATGCTTATATATCTTTTAATTATTTACTTAAATGAGAATTTTCCATTGAATGAATTTTTTTGTCAATATATCATTTTTAAGGGAGGACGCTTGGTCACCTTAGTTTCAGATATTTAAAAAATTTTACAATATTTTTTATTATTAGTTGAAGCCTGTAACCTTATACATGTCTGTTACTCTTAAAGATGTATTATATAGCATTTGAATTAAAACAATATTTTAAATTTTACTTTCTTTACCTCAAATGTAACCTTTCTTTAAATTGACATTCTTTTAAGATAAATATATATTTCAAAATAGACATATAAAAATAAATTTTTTTAGAATAATATTAACATTTGTTTTCAGCTAATTGAAAGAAATAGAAATAGACATAAGATATAAGACTAATGAGTAAAATCGATCTAAAAACATTTTGAGAAAGTGAAGAATGTTAATTTAATCGTATTCCTTTTTTTCTCAAGTTCACCATGCTACATTTTAAACTGTAAGTCATAAGATAGAGAAAAGAAAGAAAGAAACTAAATCTTTACTTTCAAAGCTTTAAAGAATAGAAATTCCCCAAAATTCAGATTTTCAGAATAAAAATGAGAAGTTCTTCAAAATATTTGGTGCAAAGAATCAAACCTAATACCGTTCAATCTTTTCTGTGTTTTTGTGGATTAAAAGATATATCTCTTAAAGTTAAAAAAAATGTAGAAACCTTTCATAGAAAGCCTGAGCCTATTTATGTATTTTTTGGGAACGTATTTTTAAAACGTTATTAGAATTGATTCTTTACTTTCTTCTTTTCTAAAAGATTTTAATAAGGAAGATTTTTTTTCAAAGAAGTACACTATCACGAGAACAGAGCATCATCTATGCTTAAAATTAAAAGAAACCGAATTTTGAAGCTTATATTTATAATACTTATTTTAAATTTAATAAAAAAGTTGAGTTCTTTCTGTATTTCCTTTACATTTATTACTAGCATGTGAACACATTCAGATGAGATACGAATTCAATGTAATTTAATTTAATTATTTTTTATTAATTATCATCTTAAAACTTAATTAATTATTATTAACTTAAATATGATTTTTAATTAAATATTTAAAAATATAGCTTTATATAACTTCAAACTTTAACTTCGAGTTTAAAATCTATGTAAATGTAAAATTAGAATATTAAACTAATTTTTATAAATATGTGATTGTTTAATATTATCTCCTTAGCAAGGTGAAACAGAAAATATTATTTCTCACAGTATGTAATATTTGATGTAAACTGTTATTTTGTTAGATTTTTGTAATATTTCCTTATATATGAACATTGTAAAGGTTTTTTTTTGTACGATTATATACCTTTTTTTTTTGTCATATATTTTCTCTGCTTTTACATTTCTCTAATATAAAGTTATCCCCGAATGTTTCTATACTCATAGAAACAATCAACTATTTTAACACTTTCTAACGGTTTAACAGTTCAGTTACTAAATATTTTATCTGTTTTTCTCAAAAATAAGTTTGCTAACTTTTTATTTTCTGAGTAGAAGTTCCAAAAATTAACATCACATTTGAGAATTCAATATGTGTAGTTATCCAGAAACTTAAGAAAAAATAAACAAATGCTGACATCAAGTACAGTAATATAAGGCTATTGATCGGTCCATGATGCTTCAAATGTTTCCTTGTTGTTCGTGATGTGAACATACTATGTATCTTATTTATCACAAATTTAAAATTTAAACATTTTTGACGCATTATATTGCATATTTTTGAATATGCTTGTATAATAAGTTTATTATACAAAATAAACGTATATATGTATATAACATCACAATTATTCACTAATAAATTTTTTCCCCCAGGTTTAGACAAAAAGAATCAAAACAGAAAATATCAAACATTCCAGAAATGCGTAAAAATTTCCCAAAGAATGGAAATAGTAATTAAAAAAAGTCAATGCAAAGACAATTCAGTGCCACAGGAAATTAGCCTAAAAATTTCAAGGTGGTCATGTTAAGAAAAAAATAATACCAAGGTCTAAAATATAGTATATCACAGTTATCTCAAGGTTTGGAAAAATTATTCCACTTCCAATCCTTTTTAAATTTCGGATTACCAACAATTAAAAGTTCGACATTAAATCTTAGGAAAAACCAATGTTATTTTTATGAAAGTTTTGATAATTCAATAAAAGCTTTAAGGTATTCTCGATAATGCCATCATAAATCTTAGAAAATTAAATTTATTGCTGGAGGAAGCTCGAATGTGTGTGAACGCTAATGCTAACAAAATGTGCTTTTACTTACTAAATGAAACATGCGAAAATTATTTTAAAACCAATTAGTATACTGGCATGATTTTCAACGTATATTATACTAATGATTTACATTTTAAAAAGGTCTTTAATTATTATTTCGGCAATCTATTTAACAAATATATCGTAGGAATACTCAACTTTATACATTTGTAATAGTAGATCGTTAACCTTATTCTCAAGAAAAAGGGAAAACCAATCAGGGTAGACTTATCTTATAAAGCTGACTTCCATTCAATCTTATCTAATGGTGATTTATTGTGACATGATTGATTTTATGGGATCTCAGGAGACATATAGCAACTTTCTTATCCCATACATTCTTCCAACATTGTTGTCAACAAATCTCAAGCTGTTGTGTACTATTAATTGCATCTTAACTGACTGCTTGATAGTAAAGCTGCAATGAAAGTAACTATCAGAACTATTGTACAAGAACTAAGCATTTTTCCCTTTAATTGTTTTTGTTGCTGAAAATTTGAATAACCTATTTAAATAAACCTACTCTTTACAATTCATAGTTTCTGATGTATATATATATATATATATATATATATATATGTGTGTGTGTGCATATATATAACTACATTAGCTTCTAATCTACGGCTTTTATTTTCTTAATATCCCTGTTTTTGAAAAAGTCATCTATTCGCAATCAAGCAAGTGAAAAAATAATTATGAGTGACAAGCGAACAAGCACAGAGAATTTGAAATTGCCTACCCTTTTCATAATCATTGTAAATTAATCGATGTATTTAAATGAACTTATATTTGGGCCTAATTTTTATACATGTTATAGTTATTTATGAATATGCATTAAAACCAAATTAGTTCTATTTTTAAATAATATATATGCGTTTTTTTGTATAAAAGTAAACTGAAGTTTCTTTAATATTTAAATTGCTTCGAGTCTTCATGATTCGGATAAGAATTAAAACTTTTAATAATAAGCAGTCTTTTGAAGTTACACTAAATATGTAGGGATTAATATTAAACCAAGGATATCCCAACGATTGATTTTAAGTTGTTAGAAATTAATTATAAATAGCATTTTAAAAATTTATTTCAATCACATTCGGAATAAAGGTTAACAAACCGTAGCTAAGAGGAAGTTGAATTACGAGTAATACATTTCTTCAACTTAAATTTATTGAACGGCTTATAAAAATATTTCAAAATTTAAGATAATGGCACATGAAATGTATGGCAAATGCTTCAAAATCCTTGCCGAATCTGGAACTGGAAATGTGTGGGATCTTTTATAATTCACACATGAAATACTAAATAATATATAAATCAGTCTCTTTAATTATGGAATCTACGAAACGCAGTAATTTTAGGGAGTACCAGTTCACTAAGTGGAGATGAAATAAATATTCACTTCTTTAGGAGGTAACTCAAGGCTATCATAATTCAATTGGCTATCTTTTGCTTATGCTAGTACGTATTATCAGTGACACTCACTACCATTGCTATAGACCTATTGGTTACTCTACCTACACGGAGTTGACGTTATAACTTCTGGCATACTCATTTCGTACCTTTACGTCATAGAAGGCACACGTCCAATAACACTCAATGCTTTGCACACTTCTTCACTACTTGTGTACCAATTATTCTGGGCTCAATTCTTTTTGATATGTTCTTTTTCAATTCCTACTATTAGTTCACTCTCTCCTTATATATATATATATATAGCAGTAAATAATTAAAAAGAAGACTAATAAATCCCAAGAATCTTAAGATCAGACCGGAAGAACCAAGAACATGGAACCATGACAAACCAAAAAAGAGAAATGTAGCTAGAGGGGAAAGCTATTATGATTTCTCGAGCTGTCACTGGTTTAGGACAGTGAAACAGGATTAAACAATGTTTGTGAGATCTCAACCTTCTCCTGCAGCAGAAATGTTTTCGACACAATAGCTCCCAATATAAACTATTTTATTAATGATTGAAAATTTGAGCAAGATATATATATATATATATATATTATATTATATATATATGTATATATATATCTTGCTCAAATTTTCAATCATTAATAAAATATTTTCGTCATCCATTCAAGTTCAAATACATTCTTTAAACTTGTAGTGGATGACACTTGATGTTAACACAGTTTTTCAAATATTAATTCATTAATTAAATTAAAAAATGAATAGTCCAACAGTATATATAGAAAGGAAAGTTGTTCTTTGAGTCTCAGTAGTGCATTGTATAGCGCGTTGGACTTCTAATCCAAAGGTCGTGCGTTCGAATTCTACCTGGGACGGCCTAATTTCTGAGAATGTGAATTCTTTTTCACTATGCTATTTTATTAGAATAATTAAATTTAATTAATGAATAAACAGTAACAAAGAAATAGTCCAACACCATATATAGAAAGGAAAATGAAAAATTGCAAGGAAAATAGCTTTCTATTTTGTCATTTAATATTGTGATTCTGTCATATGTATATACTTATTTATATTAATTACAACTATTTAATAAAAAGTAACTAAAATAAAAAATTTCTTTGTTGACCTAAGTAGGAACTGACTTAAATTTTTTTTTATATTACTTGTTTGCTTAAGTTTGCTTTTCTGGAAGATGTATTTGTCACATTACCATTGTTAAATTATCGTCAAGCGATCAATACTTTTCCTCTAAGCGTTATCTGTCATATACTGTTCAGACAATAAATCAATATATATTTTAAATTTTTTAATGCAATTTATATGTAGCTTTTTTCTCATTTAAATTAGCGTAAATATATAATACTTTAAATGCTTCATATATATATATATATTGCATTTTTGTAAAATTTAATATCTAAATGTTTTATAAAAATAATTGAATTGTTTGAACTTTAGTAGAAAAGAACAAAGGCACAACACACCTAATTAAATGTTAAGGAACATATGCTAATCGATAAAATATATCGATCCTGATAGTTAATTGATTGTAATAAAAGTACAATGAAATTCATAATAAATTTCCTAGATTTTCAATTCGAAAAAAAAAGACTTAAATAATTCTTTGATTAGTTTTGTTAACGGAAAAATGACTTACATTTTAAGAAACTTGTGCTTGCTAAACTAGTTATATGTTGTTGTTGTTTTTGAAATTTTAAATTATGTATGTTTAATGTATCGATTAGATGGTATTCATTTTGTGAATTGTAGTCGTGGCAATAACAAGGCAGCTTGATATCACATAATTGTTTGTTTAATTATGATATCAGCTTATTTATTTTGAGTTTTCTCTTCTCTTAAGCGAAAAATATACAAGATAGGGAATGTTTCGTTTTTTAGGTTTAAATACACTAGAAAAACAGGGAAATTCATAATATAAAAAAAGTATAATCACGTGTTCAAGAGAAGGGAATTATTAATTACTCTTAGAAATTACTTCAGTATTTTAGGGAAGTTTTCACGGCTTAATAATACACGTATAAGTAATGAAGATATTTTTTTTGCGTGTAAGGAATCGTGAATTAAGGTATCCGACTACACTAAAATTGTGAATTTTGCCAAAAATTGACAAATTTTTTTTATGATTTTATTTTATATGCCATCTTATTAGCTTTATAAAAATACCAAGTTTATTACTTTTCGTTTACTAGATTAAAAACTACAAGTATTTTAGTAAAAGAAGATGCCCTTTAAGCAAGATCTCACACTTTAAAACACGTTTTACTCGAAATGTGTTCTTTTAAATGCTCAAACGGAGACAGCGATTGCTCAAAAAGTTTTCAAAATAATTAACTGAAATTTTTTGTGTATGTTCTGTATAACAGTAGAAGTGTTTTAACTTTCAGATTTATCAATCACTGTTTTCTTACAAAATTTACAGTCCCTTATGTTAATATATTCACTGTTTTTTTAGCAATTTCATATAATAACTAAGATAAAGTGCTCTAGTTTTTGTAAAAATTAAAATATCGCTTATTCTGAAGGTTATTTCAAAAATGAATAACATAGCAACACAACAGAATTGAAAAACTGAAAATTTGTTCATAAACCTTTGGTAGAGAATGGGCCGCGTTTATGTTATTTTTTTGTAAATTTTTACCTATTTTTTCCCATTTTAGTAATAATAATTTCTTTTTCTCTTCTTAATTTTTTCTTAAAATGTCTAAACAAATCTAAAAACGACAAAAAAATCCCCATATCTCCGTCTTTTAAAAAAAGGTTCTCGCAAGTAGTCGGATACCTTAATCAGTCAAAAATTCAAGGTCTAATTTAACAAGTAATCACTAATAAATCTGTCTAAACATAGGTTTGAATCCTTTAATAAGTGATGAAATAAGACGCGTTTCGAAATAGAGTGTTACGAATTATGATTTATATGTTATATATACCTTTATATATAATATATATATATATTATTATATATACCTTTTCTATCGATAAAACACATTAACAATTCTAAAGTTAAACACAGCAGAAAAGTTTGTACAATAATTCATATAGTTCTGGGCTTTATATTCAGTTTTGATCTTGTCGAAATACTTTTTTCACTGCAGAATAAAAACACAGCGAAAACGTTTATGCTGTAGACAGAGCAAACTTCTTTATGTTTTTTTTTAAGAACATGTGTTATCATTGTTAAAATATTGGAAACAGCAACAGAGAAACATTTCTTTAAAAGAACGTGCTCAACATTATTTTTTGTGGGGGAAAAAGACGAATTGTTCGACCTCCTCGGCGAGAAGTTGAAGAAAAAAAAAACATTTTCCTTTCCTAGTTTCGACGACAAATATCTTTTAAAGTAGGACAAGGAAAGTATCATTGCTCTATTGGGAGTTAAACTTTTAGTTTAGGAAATACTTTTTCATTCATTTCCAATCATTCCAAATCAAAGTTCTGTTCCAGCTTATTTTGAATATCTTAAGCTTATTTCTAATATCTTTATATAAGTTGTTTATATATGGTACATAGCAGTAGATTGAACATTACATATATTTTATAATAAAGCGCGATTATGAATACATTTCGTATAATAGATGCGAAATATTCGATTAATTTAACACAAGATAATAAAGTGCTTATGATATGTAATTCCTCACATTTTCTAAGATAAAAACAGGAACCTTAAAATAAATAAATTCTCTGCGTCATTAACATTTTTTTTTTAATTTCTAAGAAAAAGGATCACTTGATGCTTACTCTCTTTTTTTTCCACCGAAGCATGAACACTATCTGTACAATATCTATAAATATTTTATTTTACATTAAACTTTTAATTAAAAATTATTTTAATATAGCCCAGAATAATTTTGATGACATTGGAATGCTTCTCCCTTAGGAATTATTAGGCAGAATTTGTCTGTATGTAAAATTTTCTTAAATAATTACATGTTTTCATACAGGAGAAAAAAACTATTACTCATTATATCCAATTTAATGTCTGAAAAATTATTTTATAAACACCTTCTTGTAAGATAATCAGTATTTCAAAATAGACTTACAAAAGTGAACATTTTCGGAAAAGTATTAACATTCGTTTTCAATTTAGAAAAATAGTAATGCATTTTAAATTTCAGACTAAAAAGTACATATATAACATACTGAGAAAGTAAAGAATGTTAATTTAATCGTGTTCATTTTCCCCTCAAGTTTATCGTGTGGTATTTTAAACTTTGAGTAATAAGATAGACAAAAAGAAAAAAAGAAAGAATGATATTTTAAATCTTTGCTCTCGAGAGCTTCAAAAAATAAAAATGCCCCAAAATTCAGATTTGTGATATAAAAATGAGAAGATCTTCAAAAGATTTCATGCAAAGAATGAAACAAAATACCGTTCAATCTTCTCTGTGTTTTTATGGATCAAAAGATATATTTCTTTCAAAGCTCAAAAAAATCTAGAAATGTTCTTAGTTTAATAAAGGGCCAGAGCCTATTTATATATAGTTTTTGGAAACATTGTATTTTCAAAACCCCATTAAAGTGGATCTTTTTTACTTCTTTTTCTGAAAAATTCTAATAAGGAAAGATTTTTCAAAGAAACATACTATCACGAAAACAGGGCATCATCTTCGTAAGGATGAGCGAGCTTAAAAGTAATATAAAAAACGCACTGAAATGAATTGTGAGGCTTATTTTTATATTTGAATTAAATTTAACGCAAAACATTCTGCCTTTGTGTTGCCCTTCCATTTATTATCAACATGTGAACACGTTTACGAGGGATAAGAATTGTATATATTTCATTTAACTATTAACTTATAAATTATCACCAAAGATCTTTATATATTTAATTATTCTTTTTACATTAAGATTTCAAAAAATTAATCTTCAAATTCTAGCTAAAGTTTAAAATTCTTGCCAGTAAAAATTAGAATATTTAACTAAATTTTATGAAATTTTTTTTGACATATTACTTCTTTAACATGTTGAAAATGTTATATCTTACAATAGTTAATATTTGATATAAACTTTTTTTTCAATAATAATTTCTGCAGTTTTCCTTGCACAGTAGAATCTCAAAAACTCGGCCTAATGTGGACTGTAAATTCTGGGTTATCGATAATGGGATTAAAAAAAGATTAAGTATTAGTGTTTCTTCAGAAAAATTTAAGTGTCGTTTTCTTGGGAATATTGCAAAAAATAAACTGTTCAAATTCTCTTAAACAAAGAAAAGTACGTATTTTATGAAGGATTAAAACACTTATTACAAGAATATATAGTATACATAATTTAACTGAACAGACACACCTAAGAAAAGTACTTTATATGGAGGCATAAAGCTATCTTAATGAAAATTAAGTAGCAGACTTTGTAAAAACTGGCTACTTTTTTTAAAAAAACATGCGTTATTTCAGCACACGTTTTTCCGACCCGTAAGGGCCTGGACGAATTATCCAAAATGCCGGTTCTACTGTATTTGCAGATTGTAAAAGTTTTATTCACATAAAATTCTACATTTTTTTGGTCATATATTTGCTCTATTTTTACACTCCAATAAGGTAGATTTATCTGATATGTCTCTCATTCACATAGAAAACTACAAAACCAATACTTTAATTGTAATTTAACAGTTGCATTTTGAAATTATTAAATATTATATTTAGGCTGCTTAAAAATAAGTTTGTTAATTTTCCGTTTTTTGTGTTAGGGTTGGAAAATGAAAATTATCCCTTTTTAAAACCTATTGACGTACACGTTATAAGCAGGCTTATCACTATTGACATGAAACTTTTTCGGTTGAATATTTAATTGTATCTCTCCAGTTGGTAAATAAATAAAAAAATTTTTTATCGAAGCGTACATTAAATAGCGTATTATTTAT